TTATTTTGAACAGCTTACATAGACATATTAATGAATGTCTATATAATACTAAGTGCCAGAAAGTAGAAATAGAGAAGTAAAAAAGACCCCTTATATCATATAGAGTAAAAAAAAGTTTATATTTTAATATGTGCCTTTCATTTTTATTAACTAAATTTGTATGTATTAAATAACAAAGGAACAAACTTGAAGATAATAAGTAAATAAGAATATCTTTGCCCCAGATATCTAAACAAGTTCATCCTAGGCCCTCTCCCAATTCTAATGCAGGAATTTAAAAAGCTGTCTAAGGTTAATTAGACTGTTCATTATTCTATCTCATTAATTGGCTACCAGGGTGGTGTGGCTATCATTACTCAAATTCTTCCCTCAGTTATAAGAGCTAATCGCTGTGTATTTTTTCATGTTGGCCATCTGTATGTCCTCTTTGGAGACGAGCCTATTTAGCCTTTGCCCATCTTTTGATTGGGTTGTTTGCTTGCTTTTTCTTGAATTGTATGAGTTCTTTGTAGAATTGGATATCAGCCCTTTGTCAGATGTATGATGTGCAAAAATCTCCCAATCAGTAGAATATCTTTTTTGTTTTAGATAGTTTATTTCACTCGGCAGAGACTTTTTAGTTTGATATAGTACCAATTGCCTATATTTTCTTTGCTTTCTTGCTGTTAGAGATGTCACAAAAATATAACTGAAGCCTATGTCCTAGAGTTTTGTCTATATTTTTTTCTATGTAATCTATGAATTCAGTTTTTACAGCCAAGTCTTGTAGCAGATCTTAGTGAAAAATCCATTTTTCACAATTGAGAATGGTTTTAACTGTGGTTTATTATATATTACCTTTCTCACGTTGAGGTATGTTCCATCTGTCCTTATTTTTAAGGATTCTTATCATAAGAGAATGTGAAATCGTGTTAAATATTTTCAGTGTCTATTTATATTATCTATGATTACTATCTTTCCTTTTGTTGAATTACATTGATTAATTTTCAGATAATTACCATCATTATGACCCTAAAATAATTTCAACTTGGTCATACTATATGTTTTTCTTTTTTAATGCATTATTGGATTTAGTTTTCTAGATTTTGTTGAATATTTTTGCATCTATGTTGGTCATGGAAAGGTCTACAGTGTATTTTTTGTGGTCTTTGTCTGCCGTTGGTATCAGGAAATGAAATGGCTTCATATATATTTGGGGGTAACCCCTCTTTATTTTTGGAAGAGTTTGAAAAGGGTAGATATTACTTTATATTTAAAGACTTGGTAGAACTCACAAGTGAATACAACTTGTCCTGAACTTTTGTTTTTGGGAGACTTTTGATTATTTCAATTTCCGTGTTTCTATTGGTCTGTTCATGTTTTCTATTTCTTCCTGATTCCCCCTTTTTTTTCTTTATGGGTCTTTTTAGAAGTTTGTCTATTTTGTTTATTTTTTTTTCAGAGAACCAAATTTTGATTACCTTAATTTTTGGACTGTGTTGTGATTTCTATTTCATTTTTTTTTTTCTGCTCTAATTTGTATTATTTTCTTCCTTCTACTGGCTTTTGTTTTTGTTTGTCCTTTTCCTTAAGGTGAGGGATATGTTTATTAATAGGCTATTTTTCTTGTTTCTATATAAAGTAGAACTACAATCCATATATATTATTTCTCCTTTTCAGCAAATCATTCTTATTCTTTTGTTTTTGAACCCAGAAATAATCGTGTGGCTGGGATCTAGTATTTAATTGTACCATGAAGTTTGCTTGACTCTTTTTTCCCGGACCATTACAAAATACAACAGTCTATGTTTTCCCTTATTACACAACTTTGCAGTCACTTTAAATTAACTGAAACAGTCTTTAGTGTACATAATCAAGTAGAATTGAATCTTATACCCTTTTGACAGCTATAGACACTTGTTCAGTAAGTTAAAATAAACATATTCATACATGTACACATTACATCTTTTTTTTATCCTTTTATGGTCTCTTCCTTTTTGAGTTCCATGATTTCTATAGGTTATCATGTGAGAATTTATAATACACTCTATTTTTTTTTCCTTATGTGAAGATAAATCAGATGTATACTAACTGTGCCAAATAAACATTAACTGGTCATCAGAATTACTAAGTAAATACAGATGCCTAGTTAATTTTGAATTTCAGGTAAGCAGCAAGTCATTTTGTAATAACCATTTCCCCGACAAATACTGCATATTTATACTAACAAATGATGTTTTGTTTATATAAAATTCTAAATTACCTTGGGGTCATTTAATTTTAATTGCTACATTTGGCAACCCTCCTATTAGTCTGATATTTGGAAAATATTTGTTTCACTTTTTCACTTTAGAGTTTTGTTTGCTTTTCTTTGAATTTTATCTTTCCTCACTTATTTTTTTTTTATTTTATTTATACAAGCACTGGGTACAGTCAGAAGTGCGGGAGGGTGAGAGAATTCACCAGAGCCAGAGTGGGGAGCAGAACAAGCAGACTGAAAAAGTACACTGCTGAAGGGAGCAGCGGGCACAGCAGGAGAGTTCTGTGCACCATGTGGGACCCTCACCGGCTGCCGGGAATTGAACTTGCACTGCAGAGGCCGCGGGCAGCTTTGCAGCTCAGTGCTCAACCACTGTGCCACAGGGGAGGCCCTCCTCACTTATTTTCATTTGAGTTTGTCTTTATTCTTTATTTATTGCTGCCTCTTTGGCTCATTCTGGGACAAAAGTAGAGGAAAGAGCAATTTTCACACTATCTATAGGCTTGCAGTTACTTATTTATGCTATTAATTTATTCACTTTTCATTTAAGCCCATTTGGTGGTATGATTATCTGTTTATTTCTTTAAGCATCATCTTTTTTATAAATAAATAATTTTCTATATTGACACTTAGAATTGAGACTTCTATGAGTTCTGAATCCTCAGTGGAAAGTTGAACTTTGACAAAATCCTACTTTCACTTTTTTTGATGTGATGTATTGAGGTGCTATGTGTGCCATTCTGTGGTTGAAAATATATATCACTACTGTTTTTAAACTATGTTTCTTTATCATATCTGGGAATTTTCATGATCATAGGATAGTGGAAATTATTTTTGAAATTTACACATGGGTAACTATACTTTCTGCAAATTATATCATATTCTAAAATGCCAAATAAGTTTGTTCATGAGACATGAAAATTTATAACTTGCAATACTATTTCAAAGGCACCACATCACAATTTCAAAGCAAGAGTCTTACCAAAAACTATTACTTTACTTTTAATGACCCATCTCAAAGAATGTTCTGTTCACAGAAATAAAATATCTTACAAAAAAGATAAAGTGAAAACTTTGTAAAGAAGTAATTGCTCTAAATTTATGAAATCAGTTAAATCGCATTTTATGCTTGACAGAACCTCTTTAGAAAAATTAATAATAATAATAACATGCACATCCCAAAAGCTACTAAGATCCAGTGAGGAGTCAACCAGACAATAGTTTTCAGCTTATAAACTGAAATCTGCATCTTTAGGAATTTACTGTAACAAAATCTTATAAATTTACCCTTAGGACCATATTATACAAGAGACTCTCTTAGTCTTTGTAATCGTATAGTTTTTATAGCCTATAATACTGTTTTATGTAGAGTCATCTGGTGGTCCTAACACATTTCCCTGTAAAGACATTTTTAAGGAATATTAGTATTATCTTTAATATCCTGGTGGCGATATTTTCATTGCTTATTGAATTAGCTTATTTTATATTGTTGTTCACAATAAACAGTAACAGTTTCATTTCATAAGTTTAAATTTTATATGTTTGAAGGCCTCTCCGGTGGCCCAGTGGTTGATTGCTGGGCTGCGAAGCTGCCCGCAGCCTCTGTAGTGCCGGTTGGCTCCCCGGCCACCAGTGAGGGTTCCATATGGCGTGCAGACCTCTCCTGCTGAGCCTGCTGCTCCTTGCAGCAGTGTACCTCAATCCTTCTGCCTGTTCTGCTCCCTGCTCTGGCTCTGGTGAATTCTCTCACCCTCCTGTGCTTCTGACTATACCCAGTGCTTGTATAAATAAACAAATAAATAAATAAATAGATAGATAGATAGATAGATAGATAGATAGATAGATAGATAATTATATGTTTGATCCACACTGTGTTATTAAGCAATTTTTTCAGAATAATGATGGAAATGGCAGGTCATTCTTACATCAAAAATGTTTAAAGATTAAGCCAAATGAAAATAAAGTTTATTTTAAATGGAATGATTAAAATATTTGTGTAAAATACAAAAAAAGAGAGTTGTTATTCTTTTCTTCAAAAGTGTTTATTTTTGTTTTATATTTGAATTTTGAAGAGAAATTCATTTTATTTTGCTCAGCTAAATTATGGAAAATGTCTGGGAACCTGGAAAATAAAATGGACTCAATAAATGAAAGTTTAAGTAGAATATCATTCAGTGGCTGAGGAAAATGTTAATGAAGACCTCTTCAGATAACCATGAAGTCAACTTTAATGAAATCGATCCAAGCAGTTCTTGGTATTATTCCTAATTCCAAATAGGTCAAATAAGGTGTGCTGTTCTCTTCCATTGGGTAATCACTCAAATCAAATGTGGGAGCTGTAAGTGGAAAAACTGCTAAATACCTACAAAACATTTATATCTAACTAATAACATAATTTATTGGATTCATATTTATTATTTCCATTCAGCTCTGTTTGTAAAAAGACAGAACTGAATGTTTTCACTTTCCCTCTTTCAAATTCATGGAAAGAAAGGGAAGGAGATGGGCCTTTGTCTTTGAACAGAGGGAAAACATGTTTCTCAATCTGATTTATATAAATAAAACATGCAACATTTAAATTTATGTTCCTTGGCCCTTCAATATCTTGAATTTTTTTTTCAGATCAGCCCTTTGATGTTCTGTACTCCTCTTTCTATTTGCTCCCATTTTCTGGAAGTATATTTGATGCGTAAAAGTAGAAATGAAATCTTATGTGCCTGTCTACTTGTTCACACTTACTACTGAATTCATGTTACCCCAGGCACTGAAGGAGCAGTATTTGGGCACTCTGTCGAGACACCACACATCAGAGCAGAACCTTCTCAAGACCTTAGGTAAGTCCTAATGCTTTTACCTGTGTCATAGCTTCCATCACTACTAATCATCTTTCATATATGAAGAACCTTTCATAAATAGAAAATGTGCTATCTATTTGCATAAAATAATTGACATTCCTTGCCTGCCTGGTGACCAGATAATCAAGTATTTGATTAAGAGTAAGAAAATATGAGTTTTTGTTCAAACTTATTTTCTCCCACTTTTCCCCTAATAAGTACACCATGAGTATAAATATGAACATACCAGAAAAGTAGCATGTGGATAAAAAAAGAAAAGGCAGTTTTAGAGAAAGCTAAAAGGAAAACTGATAAAAATAAGGACTCTGGAAAATCTGACATAGAACAATGCTGTGCAGGCATACACAGATATAAAGAAAGGGGATGCAGCAAATAGGAGACAGCTGTCAGGGGTCAGCAAGTATTATGCAGAGGGAAGTACGGAAGTAAATGTAAATAGCAATCAGAAAAGGCAGAACTTCATAGCCCAAAGGTGGGTTCTTTACTTTCATATTTCCAATGCAATAAGCTACTTCCAAACTTTTGCTGTTTCTAAAAGGCACAGTTAAACATAAATGTCCTCACTACCTATAAGATTGTGAGATGAAAATTTTATAGGAAATTCTCTCAGATTAATCATGACAACTTTTGATGATATTTGAAATATTAAAATCAGTAACTGATCCATGGACATTATTAATGGAAAATATAAGTTAAGATCTAGGAAACTAGTGATGTCTTACATAATTTATGGAATAATCATTTCACAATGTATACATTTATCAAATCATTGAGATGTACACCTTAGCTAATACATCATCATATGTTACTAAAAAAGATTTTTCTTATAATAGATTTTCAATAGGCAAATTATATTCCAAATGCATTTGCTGTGCTATGAAAAACAAAGTAGTGATATTAAAAAAATTAAATCATGTATTGAAGATCACATTTAAAACTGAATCAGAATATCAGCCTGAGAGATAAAATTTTATCTTGGAAACCACAATAAAAACACTAAGCAATAAAACTATTTTATTTCATAAAGAGCGGTAATGTTTCCTCCCATCCAAATGAGTAAGAAAATGTTCAAATGAAAACAGGAAAATAAAGCTGAAAATGTTAATGCAAAACTTATTTATATTTTTAAGATAGTAAATTATTCAGAACTTTATAGTTCTACTACACAACTTGCTAGAGAACTGTTTCTCACTTCTTGAAGAACATAGAGTCAAACAAACCAGTTAACAATAACAAGAGAAGGCAGTGGTCTTCATCTGATCAATGTAACAATTATCACTCTATGCCAACACCCCACGGATTTAGGAGGATTAAAGTGAGTTGTAGGCTTGATATGTGGCCTTTTCCTCAGGAATTCTATATTCTGTATGTAATTAAATTTATGCCTCTCCACCTATCAAGTTTGAATGTCCCATGGGAACACAATCTGCTTCTCCCTTGCTTATCTGTTATGCGATAGCAGCCAACAGTGTATCTCACATTACAGTGTCTGATAAATAGTTGTTAATCGAAATTACTGAAACTGAGCAAAACTGAATAACAAGCACACTAATCAGATGTGTGAAAGGAATGTGACATCAGTTGTTGTTGCATTATTAAGAAATATGTCAATAGCGTTGATTCCAGTTTTTTTTGAAATGTTTTAATGCAAGTGCCATAATTTAGAGATTCATTCAGTAAAAAAATCTAAAGTAACTGAGATCTAAAAGAAACAGTTTTTTCCTCCTAAAATGTTAGTAATTATGCACTCATGTTTGATTTTTCACTATGAAAAGTCTATTGCCAAAAGAGAAATAAGAATTAACTGCTATTTTAATTACCTTGCTGACAGGTCTCAAAATTCATATGTATGAATTTGAATTAAAATATAGTTAGTAGATAGCCTTTCTGGTTTTTACTTTCTAATTGTTCATCAATTATTTAAACATTGAGCTAAATTAAGCTTATGTGCTAGTGCTGAAAGCAGATTAGCAACCCCCAAGATGAGTGTTACTGATCTAAATTCCAAAACTGAGAAAGAAACAAAGCACAATAATGATAGGGATATTCAATTATTCATTTGTGTGCTGAAGATTAAAAGCAGAATGTCTGAGAAGATATTTACAAGTCTTGCTGACAATTTTCCTTTTAGGACAATAAAAAGTTCTCTTAGTCTACACCTAATTCTAATTAACAATGTGAGACTGTTTGGCTAAGAGAATAGAATGGTAATTTGAGAGCAATTAGCTATGTTGTCTGTTTTTGTAAAGAATAAAAATCTTTAGAAAGGAACAATTCAAAAAGTTGATTATGGAAAATAAATAATATTTTTATTTGAAAATACTATTTCCATAATTTGTTTATTCAACAGATGTTTCATGTTGGTTTAATATGTGCCAAGTTCTGTGCTAATTTTCATGTGCATTTTTAACCTAATTGTGTAGATTTTCTGTGACTATTTTTATACAGTGTGGTATTAATTTTCACTTAAATATACGTGTGCTCAATAACCAGTAATGACACAAAGTATTTGCCTGTAATAATCCAAGTAGGAATGTTTTTCACTTTTTTATTTCTTAAATGAATGTTTATAACTCAAAATTTCTGCATTCTGCAGCAGGATGTGTTGAAATCCACATATATAATATCTATTGCCCAAAAATTGTTTGATCTGATTTCCATTAACTGTTCAAGAATGAGATAAGACAAGAATCTGGACTTGGAATCAGTGGAATAAATTAATGTTTAATGATCTAATTGGGATCTTTTCATCATTTTCATTCTTTTATGAATATAATTAAAAAACTGAAATGTTAAGGTTTATAGGCTTCAATTAATCTTTGTAAATTCATATTTTAATTTGCATCGTTCTTCTATTCAAGGAAAAAACACCATTTATTAAGTAGTAAGGATCTTGCTGAGACATTATGTCAATAAAGGGGCAAATTAGTTTGCTGGTCATTTTTTACTTTTCCTATTCCTCTCCCCTTCCTTACATTTCCCTCCCTCCCCTCCCCTCTCCTTTCTCTCTCTTTTTTCCTCTTTCTTCCTTCTTTTTTTTTGTGTGTTCATATATTAATTTAGCATTTATAGCAAATGAAAAGTATAAGCAGCTTGTCTTAGCTTGCACTTTTAGGAATAGGAAGCAACAACTGATCTAGAGATTTCTTTTATTTGAAAGAAGAAACTATAATGGGGTGTGCTAATGGGCAGAAAACCACAAAAATATAGGACAACGATGTGATTTGCATCAGAAGAAATCTCACCATAGCCTGAAGTGATTAGGCAGTAAAATTTCTTATATGTTCAGGTAACAGTTTGCATTGATTATCTTGGTTCTTAAAATACATTTCTATTCAATTGTCCATTAATGCCATTAAACCTCAATAATCAATGAGTCCCTACTATATTTCTGACACTGTGCTAATATTTACCAAGCACAAAGTTAAATGATCCCTAAGTTATGATTAAGTTTCTATTTAGCAATTGCATCTTTGCAATTGCTTTCAGTAGCATTTGCCACTGAAAGAAGTCTGAAATCTATATTCAGAGTGCTGAGATTTCTTCTAGAGACCTAGAAGAAATTCAAGTTTCACTCATTTCAAATTTTAGAATTGCATAATACCTTAAAAACAAACTTTTGTTGTCTCTTTGGTACATAAACACCCTAAAAAACAGAATTATTTTGGAAAACAATCATGGAAGAGACTGATTCAACTTCAACATTCATTCTTTTTTCCTCCATAATCCCTAGGTGACCATTATGATAAGTAGTCTGAAATTCACTGGTGTGATTGTTAGAATGCTTTCCAACTGAACACAGTTGTAGTGACCAATTACACAAAATTTATATATGTCAATAAATTGAATTTCATTTTCAATAATCATTTATAAAGAAAGTTTTATAATAAAATGAATAGTTTAAGTAACAGACTCCTATGATGTTGCAAAACCTCTTTAGTGGAAACTTTCCATGTTGTAAAAGTTTTGTTTTTCATTTATGCAGAAATATGTCATAGTAGATCACAATTTTGCACAAGAAATTAAAGTATCCTTATAAAATTTAATTTACGTGTTTGGCCTTCATTGCACTGAATATCAGAAATTAAGCCCCTATCTATTCATTTTCCCTCACCCCACCCCCCTCCCCAGTAGTTGTATTGTTAGATCAAGGGACTTCTGCTGTGCTAAAGCATTTGGTCATTGGTAGCTTCATAATCCAAAATGACATTTGTAAGGAGTTCTCATTCGTATCTCTACTTAGTCTTCATTCACCACATGTCACTATGATCTTCTTTGAGTTTCTTTTGATATCTGTCATCAGTTATCCTGAGGCATCACTACCATCAACTCTCTCAATTAAATAATAAACATCCCACCAGCTAGAATTTAGCCTTGGGTAGCAGAACACAGAGAACCATTTGAAACAAGTTCTGTTGATTTCTCTCCAAGTCCTTATCCTACAAATCAAGAAAATAGTTCTAAACAACAAACTGTAACTATTTTTGGTATATGTGCTAAATTGTTTTCAACACACTAAATTACTGAATTTTTAACACAAAATGTTTATTTTTTTTTAAGATTTATTTATTATTTATGCAAGCACTGGGTACAGTCAGAAGTGCGGGAGGGTGAGAGAATTCACCAGAGCCAGAGTGGGGAACAGAACAGGCAGATGGATGAAATACACTGCTGAGGGGAGCAGCGGGCGCTGCAGGAGAGGTCTGCGCGCCTTGTGGGACCCTCGCCAGTGGCCAGGGATAGAACCGGCACTGGGGAGGCCGCAGGCAGCTTTGCAGCCCAGCGCTCAACCACAGCGCCACCAGGGGAGGCCCAAACACAAAATGTTTATAAGTTTAAAAAACACAAAAGATTTTTTTATTAGCTTCCCTTTTCTACCACCCACCATTTGTATCAAAGGAGACTGCCTAGGGAATAGGGGCACAAAAAGTATAATGAAATGGGACAGGAGGAAATTACATTAACATCTCAAAATACTTTTCTACCACATACATATTTCCCTTAATTCTTTAACCTTCTTACTTATCCAGGGCCTCCCTGGTGGCAACAAGGGGTTAAGACGCAACCTGTAAAGCTGTCTGCAGCCTCTGCAGCACGAGTTCAATCCCCAGCCAGCCAGGGAGACACCCACATGGCACAGCAGACCTCTCCTGCCTCGCCCACTGCTCCCCTCAGCAGTGTACTCTAGTCAATCTGCCTGTTCTGTTCCCCACTCTGTCTCTGGTGAATCCTCCCACCCCCCACACCTCTGGCCTGTACCCTAGTTCTTGTATGCATAAATAAATAAATCTTTAAAAAAAAAGAAACTTCTTATCCATAAGAAAACTTTATAATTATCTATTTAGAGATGATCAACTGAGACATTGCTAGTCTCTAACTTGCCCAAACCAAGACCTAGTCAGCTGTCAAACTTTGTCCACTTTTTGAATTGGAATCCTCCAAGTCAGTGTTAGCAAAGTACTCTGCTGTCTGGTTACAATGGCAATGGATATCTCAGGTCCAAAATGAATATGAACATAGTAAAATTTTTCTCAGTAAATAGTTAATAAAGATGAGTATGGGGAGGGAGAAGGCCCTATGTCACACATGGTACAAAAATAAAACAAAATTGAACACATTTTAGATGAATATTTTACTATCAAATATGTGAGTAGTAACTCCAAATATATATACTCATACTCATATACTCATACTCATACCCATCACCATCCTCATCACGGTACTCATCACCCAATCCTACGTACTCTACATCCAGTTGACTCCCTCTACCTCTTCCTATCATTTCATTCCTTTCCCATCTAGTAACCAACAACTTTGTTGTCAGAGTCTAAGGGTTTGTTTTTGGTTATTTTTGTTGGTTCAATTTGTTTTGTTATTTTTTTTATATTCTACATGTGAATAAAGTCTTAGGGTATTAAGTGTTTTTCTTTCTGACTTATTCCACTTATCATAATCGACTCAAGATCTATTTATACTGTCACAGATGCCAAGTTTTTATCTTTTTATGATTGAATAGTATTTCATTGTGTATATGTACTACATAATTTTTTAACCATTTTTTTCCCTATAACTGGGCACTTAGGTTGTTTCCATATCTTCGGTATTGTGAATAATGTTCCAATGGGCATAGGAGTGAACACATCTTTACAAATAGTGCTTGCATGTCTTTTGGATAGATAATTAGAAGTGGTAATTCTATTTTAAAATAAATGCACTTTTTCCTCACATTTGTAAATTCATTTAGTTATGTGTCTTTATATGTCAGATTCATAATCTGTTTTAGGACATAAATCTTACTAATTTCTGTGTGAATGGTTTCATCATATCCAAATTTATATAATTACAACTAATGTTATGAATAATTGTTATGACCATATGTTATGACCATACTATTCAAAATGGTATATATTTGGGTATATTTGAAGAAATGAATTATAAAACAAACATTGGTGTGTGTATATTTGAAATTTAGATACCATGTGCAGAGTAAAAGATATATGAGTGGAAAAAACATTGAGCTCATTTTTTTCAAGTTTTCAAATGTTCTATGACAGTGTGATTTTTGTTTAAAAAAACAACAAAATACAGACATTTCTTTTAAAAAACATATATTCAAAACCTGACCCCTTCAAGGATTTTATGAAGATGTGCAAGAGATGAAAATTTCAAAATTGCTTTGGTGAGTGAAAAAAAAATTTAAAGTGTGATATCACTCTTTCTAAATGCTGGTTCAATTCCTTTAATATCACTTTCAAGTCTCTTAAGTTCAACTACTCTACTAAAGGAGCTAATCCTCAAGGATTAAAATATTTGATGTGGTTCTCTCTATGCAAAACTGTTCTGAATCTCTTTCCTTGAAAGAAAACCATTGCTCTGGATGATGGTGAATATCAGCCTGAGGGGACTTTTGCCCTAAAGTCTTGTGGTCAAGGGGAACATGAGCAAGTGTTGCCCCAGAGAACAGTGCTTACTCCAAAAGACCAGTTCTCTCAAGGACTCTCTCTCTACTCCCACAGTGCTTTCTATAACTATATTCTGTTGTCTGTATTCTGCCTTCTTTTTCTCTTTCATCTAGTTTTATACCTAATGGTAATTTGGAAGTCACCTTCCAACTATATATATTTTTTTTTTGTAGGAACAGCTATCTAAAACACTTATTTTTAACCTCAAAATATATGTAGTCAACCTCTAGTCACATTTGTACTTGTGAAACACCCATTTCTCAGACTAATGTCACTTGTTCTGGGCACATTTCCCTGAGCCAGTAGAAGTCACTTGATATAGAAATGTCTTCTCTCTCTATGTTAACTAATTTCTAGATGCATAAAGATTAATTTGAAACTTTTCAAGTTTGTAAAACTTATCACACTTGAAAGGTCCTAATATTAATGATTTTCATTAAAACTCTCATTTTTCCAAAATAGGGAGTCTGTAGAAGGATTCTTACATGATGTTTGTAGAAATTCATTTATTAAAACTCCATCATTAATATTGAAAATATATAAAATATTTAAACAAAGAAATTTATCATGACCTACTTTCCATGTGTAGTACAAAGGGAAATTACAAGAAATTTATTAAATCATTATGCAAATGAGAGTAAATAATTGATGTTAACAAATGAAGTGTTTCCTATAGAACCAAAAAAATAAATAAGGCAATCAAAAATCATTCTAAAATTCATTTTGACTTTTCTTGAAAAGGCAAGGATTTTTATTTAGTCTACCCTATTATTTGTTTTTTTAGTTACCTGATGTTATCTTTTAATCCATGATAATTTTTCCATTTTCTATTAATGATTCTTTTGTTTTTCTCTTAGACTTGAATCACCAACCAGGTCCTTGATAATGGAAGCTCCTCGAGGGGTTCAGGTGAGTGCTGCTGCAGGAGACTTCAAGGCCACCTGTAGGAAGGAGCTCCATTTGCAGTCCACAGAGGGGGAGGTGAGTTCTAAGGGGTAGACACTGATCCTTTACTGCTGATGGGGCTTCTCTTGAAATTACATGCATGTGGTCCCAGGTGAAATTTAAAGAACCACTTCAAAGCAAAGCTTAAATTATGAGAATATTAAAACTTCCTGATTATAAAATTTGATAAAACATTTTTGAAGTCAAAACTCATTTATACTATACTGAAAGACATTTCATGAGTCAGTTATAAATCTAAATTCTTGCAGTTTCTAAATAGACAGATAAACACAATGAAGTTCAAAATAATTTCAAGAATGAAGGCAATCGTTTTTTGTTGTTTTGTTCTATTTTGGTCTTCAGAAAGTACTTTGGATATTTGTTTCTTTTTAGAGAAGTAGCACCTATATTTTTCTAAAGGGAAAAAAAAACACAAAAGTTTATTTTACTCTATAACCTGATTATTATTTCTTTTATCAGGAGATACATGCTAATATTTTTCTTCTATGTCACTTTATTTCCTCCACAAATCTCCTTTGAGTCATTGTTCCCTTAAAATATCATCTGGGGTCTCCCTGGTGACATAGGAGTTAAGTCTCAGCACTATTACCATTATGGCCTAGGTTTGACCCTGGCACAAGTGGCACAAGTGGCTCCCCTTAGCAGTGTATTTTAGTAGATCTGCCCATTCTGCTCCTTACTCTGTCTCTGGTGAATCCTCTCACCCCTGTACCTCTGGCCTACACCCCAGTTCTTCTATGCATAAATAAATAAATAAATAAATAAATAAATAAATAAATAAATAATCTTTAGAAAATAAAATATCATCTGCTTTTTCTCAATAGCTGATGTAAAGGAAATATAAGGGATTGCGGTGAGAATTTTTTTAATGAAAAAATAATGAATGTAATAGTTATAAGGATATAAAATAAGTATTAACTTTGCAATGCAAAGAAATAACTGAAAAAAGTAAACTCATATAAAATTGAATTTAAAAAATAAACCCTTTGTCTTAAGTCTTCTACCTTTTACTACAATGTGAAATTCACTCATGAAATTTATGTACCTTATTTACTACATGTATAGTGATGGTTGTGACTTCAGAATCACATTTTTGCTAATTCTAGAAATTTCTCAAAATTATACTTCATGGGTTAACTCTCCCAGTTTTCTCTGTGGCGTTTTTTTCTGAAATGCTGAAGAAAGGCTTTCATTTTCTGTGTCTCCTAATATTTTAGCCTCTGCTTTCTAGTTTCTATTTTACTGTCTCTCTGTTCTCACTCTGATATGTTATTTAGAACTGTATGCCCAGGTTTCTCTCCAGTGTCTAATATCTCATTTAGCACCTACACAGACCTTTTATTTTAGTAATTGAATTGTTCATTTCTAGGATGTTATTCTCTGTTTTTCAGTTCTACCTTAACTTCTTGGTAATTACTCTTTTGTTTGTTAGTTTGGTTTAGCTCTTCCTTAATTATTTCAAATCCTTATACATAACATGTATGTTCTATTCCATTTATTTTTACTACAACTCCCAAAGTCCTTGAAACTCTAAATCTGTTGTATTGTTGATTCTACCAGTTAATTCCCTTAGGATTTTCTCCTTTAATATGCTTATTTTTTTTAAAGATTTATTTATTTATGCAAGCACTGGGTACAGTCTGAAGCGCAGGAGGATGAGAGAATTCACCAGAGCGGGGAACAGAACAGGCAGACTGACAAAATACACTGCTGAGGGGAGCAGCGGGCTTCACAGGAGAGGTCTGTTGCGCCATGTGGGACCCTCACCAGCGGCCAGGGATCAAACCTGCGCTGCAGAGGCTGTGGGCAGCTTCGCAGCCCAGCAGTCAACCGCTGCGCCACCAGGGGAGGCCCCGCTTATTTATTTTTTATTATGAAGTCACAAAGATCAAGTTGAGAAGAAAAAGAATCAAGAGATAATTTTAAAAGATACACTAGAACAGAGCATGGCCCCCCTGACATTGGAATGAAAGCATAAATGAATAGAATAAAAAGGAAGATGTTACTTTTTACCTTTATGTTATTAGCTCATTTGCTGATTCAAGATAAATTTATCATTTCCTTTTGTATAAGCATACTTACTGGACCAGTTTTATTATATATTACAATTTAAATGATCAAGAAATATGCTTTATAAAATTTATATATGTGTGCATATATATCCATATTACATTTCAGAATCTCTCTCCACTGCATTTGCAGACCAGAATACGTTATCTACCAAGGCATGACAGAAAGATTTCTTTAATGTCTTACATTGTTTTTAAAAGTTGCTTTTATTATGCAAATCATTTCATTCAAATATTCATAATGAATCATCCTATAATAAATATAGTGGTTATTAATCTCTGGTCTGCTCCTATTATGCACTGCTTTACTTATAGTCTTTTATTCAGTATATCAGCAGAACCCTTGAATTCCATTACAGGTTATAATTTAGTTGTAAATTGAGTATTATGCTATAAATAAATCATAGCTAGACGTGTTCAGCCATGGTCATTTTTTATATTAAATAAATAATAATAAAGAAAAGTGCAGCACTTTATATTAGAACAATAGCATGTAATTTCCTAGGAAGAAGTGTGAAATGATAAAAAATCTTTTTCTTTGCTTCATTGACTATGTCATAGACAAGCAGATTGATCACTTACCAAATAATACAGAAAGATATAAAGTTCCACTCCTTAATTTTTAAACTGTTTAATATCAGAACTGGCACAGTACTGAGATAACCAAAGTAAGAAATAGAAAATATAAGAATGAAATTACACAAATCCTGCACTGCAGAAGTTTCAGTCAATTCAGACACAGTATTACTGGAAATTTAATGTTCATCTCTGAAGACAACAGCAATCATAATTAGAGGTGCAACATCATAAGTGTTCATTATAGCATATGAAAGGCAGTAAGGGACTAACATGTAGGTAATGAGATCAAAGAGAAAGAAGAAAGCAATCTTTATTTTTAAATTAATTAAATTTTTCTATGTCAGTGATAGGCCAGATTTCAACAGATCAGAATCAGATTTGTTAATTCTTGGTGGAAGCAAGACAGTGAACTGTAACTTAAAAGCTCGAGGGTGTGATTTTGAGAACTGGGAAGAGTTTCAGAACAAATAGATTATACAGTTTATAGGGCAAAATAGAAAAGAGATATTAATTTTAGAAGTTGGAAAATGAATAGTATAATAACTAACTGAGCAGGACAGAAGAGGACCGGGACAGGGACAAGTCCGTCTATTCTGCAGAAACCTACAGCAAAGTTGGGTTTGGAAGACAGGTGGTTGAGCACCACACTGTGAAGCCATCCACAGTCTCTGCAGCACGGGTTCCATCCCGGCCAGCCGGGGAGAGACCCACATGGCGCTGCAGACCTCTCCTGTCTTGCCTGCTGCTCCCCTCAACAGTGTATTTCATCAGTCTGCCTGTTCTGTTCCCCATTCTGTCTCTGTTGAATCCTCTCACATTCCCACGCATCTGGCCTGTAACCCAGTTCTTGTATAAATAAATAAATCTTAAAAAAATAAAAAGGGGCCTCCCCGCTGCGCAGTGGTTGGGCGCTGGGTTGCCAGGCTGCCTGCAGCCTTTGCAGCGCTGGTTCGAATCCCAGCCACTGGGCGAGGGTCCCACATTGGCACACAGACCTCTCCTGCTGTGCCTGCTGCTCCCCTCAGCAGTGTATTTTGTCAGTCTGCCTGTTCTGTTCCCCTCTCTGGCTCTGGTGAATTCACTCACCCTCCCGCGCTTCTGACTGTACCCAGTGCTTATATAAATAAATAAATCTTTAAAAAAAATAAAAAGAAAAATCAATATATAACACCTCTTTTAACCACACAGGATTTAATTTTCCACATTAAGCCAAGAAAATAGAATTTTCTCTTTTTAAAGGACTTGTTCATTATAATTTATTAACAAAATCGATCTCTTTTATAATGATGAAGCTAGTTTGCATCTCAGAAATTTATGGAGTTAATTGTTGTCACCTAGTTAAATGCTCTCTGGAGTGGCCCCTAAATAAATGTGAGAATTGGAGGACACACAGCAGCTGCACACCTCAAGGCCCTGATCTTCCACAGCTAAGTGTTGATGAGTGCTCTAGAGCTGCACTTGCTTTCCAAGGCTGATGTTCACATGCCCCACCTTTGTAAAACAACTGTTCCCACCTGTAAGAGCAACTATTCTTCACCTGTATGAAACTATTCTTCAGGATTAATCACTCAGGCTACACCAATGGAAAGACAATCAGTTCCATAACTATACAAACAAGTGATGTGGTGGGATGACAACAAGCCACTGGGATGAACCTGTAACATCTATTTATATGCTTACTAATCAATAAATCATTGGCAGTATCTTACCTTCCTATGATCAGTCCTTCATGAACCTCCTTTCCACATGCTCTTTACATTTTTTGCACTATTCTTTATTATCTATGCCTCAAGGTTTCTAGGTCAAAATACAATCTCCTAGCATTTTTTCAGAGTGAACTCTTCTCCAAATATGCAGACTTAAATCCCACAGACTAGAGTTTTTCCCTATAATTTGGTATTTGCAAAGATACAATAATATCTGCTCTCTGAATGTAGTCTCACTCCTTAAAAGAGAAGCAAACAAAGAGAATGAGTTATGTAAGTTCCCTCCGTCTCTCAAACTCAACCAGTGAGAGGAGTCTTCCCCTCCTCCTCTGTGCAAAAGTGAAAGGGATGAGTGTGTAAGAACAAGTGTGCCATTGATGTCTCCCAGCATGGAAACACAAAACCGGAAGTGAGATCCAACATCAACACCCAGAAACCACATAATCACTTTCTTTTGTCTAATTTTGTGCATTTAAAACATTCATGTAGGGGGAAAAAATCTTCTAAAACAATTAGAAGAAAAAACATTTTTATCTTTCTTTGCTTCCCTCTCATTTAAGCCTGTTGTAATTGTGGGGTAATCAATTTCAAAATTTAAGTTACAAACAGATGCTTTAATCATGTTTTATGACTTTGAATGCTATTGGTAAATGCAATCACTCATTTTTTGATTCAATTATTTATTCAACAACTATTTGTATTATGTGGAATCCATATTTGTATTATGTGGAATCCATATTTGTATTATGTGGAATCCATATGAAGTTATAAAAAAATTCAAGTTGATTCTGCCTTTGACTACATGTTTAATGGGGAAAGTAAGATATAAATATAACTATTAAAAACATATCAAGCAATCAGCAAAATAAAATAATAGTGGTAATAAATTGCTATGGAAAAAACTTTCTTTCCAAATTGGAACATCAAGTAAATGTCTGCAGAGGAAAACATAGTTGAACTGGGATATGGTGGAGAAGAGAGACCTGTCCAAGGAGAGGGAAGAACATTATGTCACATATGCACTGGCACAATTCTGTGCACTATTCTTGACCTTGAGCCAAAGGCAGGTCCTGTCCATATGCATCTTACTTGCAAGTAAGTGAATCAGGAATAAATGAATGAATACACACCTAGTATTATGTTAGAAAGAGATTGACACAGAGAAAAGTGAAACTAATAAGGAGAGATTAATGATTAGCATTACTATTTTTTTAATTTTGTGATTTAGTAAAATTAATCATTTTAATTTTAAGTGATTCACAAGAATATTTAATGTGAAATTGACTTTTTATTGTAATTTTGTAATTATTTTTTAATTTTTACAAAATGATTTGTAATGTTTAATGTAAATCATACAGGTGTATAACAACTCTATTCAATGAAGAATTGTAGAAAAGTCCTTTCAATAATGGTGACCCTTTAATACATATCTCAAAAAAACATCCTCACATCTAAATAATTCTAAGATATGCATGCATATAGTATGTAAATCCTTTTCCTGGTTCACTGACAATATGCAATAGATTCCTGCGTTTCAAAAATTGAGAAGTTTTTGAAATGTAACAGTGGAAATCATCTCCCTCCTACCCCTGTTCTCTAACTGTCCAGTCAGTATCTCCTCCACTTGTGTCTTGAGATAAGTACTTCAGGCTAAGGAAATAGGCAGTTGAGAAGGCCAAAAGCCAGAGTTTTTTGGTATGTTTGATAAAAGCAAGAACAAGTGCAAGAAGAATTATGGGAAATGATAGAGTAATGGCCAAATTATATAGGACCTGTGAGTTATGGAAGGGAATTAAGATTTATTTTAAATGTAGTGGGATACCATTAGAGAGTTTTGAGCACTAGGTAATATGACTTGATTTGCACTTCTTCAAATTTGACTCTAGTAGTAATGTAAAACATGCTATAAGAACACTAGAATAGCAGCTGGGAGGTAAAAAGGGGGACTGTTGCAGGATTCCTATTAAGAAATGAACTGGACTTAGATGAGGATAAATATGTAGAAAATGGAATACTCTGATTCTTCTATTTAGAGATATCTTTCGGCAGTAACCAGCTACATAACAACATAATCAATCAATAACAAGTGAAAGTTGTTTCTTTGCTGGTCAAAACTGATACCCAATTTTTATTTCTTTGGAACTTTCTCCATGCATGTCAATATTTGTGATGACTGTCCCTTCAAGTATTGAGTCATTTTGCTGTTAGAAGAATTAGCAAAATAGATGTTGAATCTAGGTAATATGTTTTGTAGATTTTTTAAATCCAATTTTATCAGTTGCTAATTGTGTCAGTTACCATTCAGTATATCCTTTAGACAGTGACTCAACTTGGTTTAATGAGTATTTAAAAATATTAAACTAGGGAGTAAGTTTTTTTTTAATTAATTGCCTAACCCTTTAGTAATGTCCTCTCCATAAACATCCTTGTTTCTTTGTTTATTTTTTGGACTAGGAGTGATTAAGAAGTTAAATTGAGAGAGACTGTCAAAATCATTTATTTTCTATGGTGTTTGAATAACTGAGTTGACCCCTTAAGCAGATTGCACACTCCTGCTCTTCAGATGGAGGGCTCTCTGTCAGAATGCATCATTTCTCAAAGGAGAAGATAGCTGCAGAGCTTTTGGGCTGTGCTGTGGGGATGTAATTTGTTTGTTCAGCAAAGCATGGCAGCTAAACCAATAGGATAGTGTGTTGTGTAGTCTTCTTTATTAGACCATGTTGTAAAGCTCAGAGGAATGCAGAATGCTAAAATGAACTAAAATGCAATTTCTTTTCTCCCTAGATATTTTTGAATGCAGACACAATCCGGCTGGGAAATCTACCGACCGGCTCCTTTTCATCTTCATCTGGTTCCTCAAGTTCTCGACAGACAGTGTATGAACTGTGTGTCTGCCCCAATGGCAAACTTTACCTTTCTCCAGCAGGAGTAGGTTCCACTTGTCAGTCCAGTAGCAACATCTGCTTGTGGAGCTGAAGTGACTGATTTCTCCTCACACCAGAATAGCCTTTTGTTCCTGTCCGTCTGCTTCACAGTTCTGCTCGGTTTCCCTTGTGATCAGTTCAGAGCGTCTTCAAATGGTCCACAGAGCAACTTCTTCCAGTGTAAGCAGGGATTCAGCGCCACTTCTCTGGTGATATACTGTACCGCTCAACATACAGAGTGCGAGTGACAGAGCAGTGGACAAATCATCTTCAGCAGGAAAACTGGATCATAACTTTTGCTCAAAAGGGAGAATAACATAGGTGCCTTTGCTACATGAAGTGAAGCACACAGTTTTAGATTTTTGCAGGACCTGGATATGAACTGCACATAGATACATTACATAGATGAATTTCCCGGTATCCAATGGCAAGATGAAATGGTTAACCCTGTAAGAAAACTAATTCTACAGATTGAAAGCACAATTTTCCATTCATCTTTTTTGGATGTAAACTTTTATCCCCAAAATTTTAAAATTTTGAAGCATTATGTAATGCTTGCTTTACTAAATATTCAATTCAATACCTGGTTTTTAACAAAACAAAACAAGACAGAATCCCGCCCTGAGTTTTATTTGTTTCTTTAAATTCAATGTGTTGTTACTCTTTGTCTACTAAGTCTAGAATTTTGTACGTTAGGTAATTTTGAAAGCACTCAGCAATATAATCTTTACAGAATTAACAAAATGCCATTATAATGTCATTTGTCAGATCTGAATGGCCTTATGTAGTATTAGTTGGCTACTGCATGTGACGTATTTGCTTTTTAAACACATCTAATTTATTGCAATATAAGGTAGGATTAAGAGGGCAATACTGTTGGTGTGGTATCCATAGTATTTTTTTTTTTTTTAGTTCACATGCTATCCTTTCCACCTAGGTTATAATAGTATAATTTTTCTTTGCTCCATTCACTTTATACTTGATTCTGACTGCTAAAATTCAAACATCTTCTAAATAAATAAATACTAATGCAATGCATAATGCTGAGAATGGCTTCACTTTCCATTGGAATATCATCTTCAGATTTGTATCTATGTATTTTTATTGAGGTTAAGATTGAAGATTAGAAATTAAATTCAAAAATCCCTAGTTAAGAGTAAAAAACACAAATGTTAAAAAAATTATTGAAAATGTTTTTACTCCGTTAGATTCATATTTTAAGGAATCTAATCACATTTCTTTAAACTCAACATTTACTTTAATTAGACTGTTAAGATAATCTTACATCAGAAATAATAGTTCTTCCCATTCTCCACTGTTTTATTTTCATAAATTAACTCCGAATAACTCCGTAATACTTTAGATTTGGTTATTACAACGCTCAACTCAAATTCATGAAATCTAGAGAATCCAGGAATATAACACTGTATTAAATATTTGTTATGAGAAAGTAACTCGATTACCTTAAGGTAAGTTCTTAATGTTCATGTGTCAACACCCCCCCACACACACACTGTACACTCTTACATGTGTGAGAGCTTCATTTTGTGGATCCATGACTGCAGAACTTTTGGAGATCAGGCCTCTACAGCACAGCTTAAGTGAGAGATTGAACTTGTTAAAGTAATTTGGTTAGTGAAAACTGGAAAATTGGGTAATATAAGTAACAAAGTGAACTGTTTGGCCAGAATTATCTTGTTTGGATAACCTAACACTGAATAATTGAAAAAGTTCCATTTCACTAAATGCATTCTGTACTCAGCAGAAGAGTCAGAAAGCTAGTCAAGTGTCATCACTTTTCAAATATAACTTGACTTATGTTTGAGGTTATTATATAAATCTTTAAGTCAATACTGGAGTAAGAAATAAGATATGCAACTGCTTAAAAAGTCATATAGCACATGAGTTAATTTATTTAAAATGTTAGAATTTAATGAGAAATTCTCCTATTGGATTTTGCAAAATATACAAAGTAAAATACAAGAAATTTTGAACAATTATGGGTGCTAATCACTATATTATGGATTTTTAGACAAACACTATAATAATTTGAGATATATTCAAGTTCTAACCATCCCCAATTTAAAACGATTAGGAAGTTTCTTAGTCAAATGGGAACAATTCTTTTGATTAGTAATTAGCCTGTTTCCAATCTCAGTTCTGTCTTTTGCTAATCAGTGAGCTGATTTAGCCAGTCTGGGAATCTTTCCAGGATTCAGTTTGCTCAAATTTACAACAACAGTATTGAATCAAATGGTCTCTGGAGATTCCTTACAGCTCTAACATGTCCTATCCCAGAACAAATACTGTAGGAGATGGAAGGGACTGCTGAAAATTTAAATTATGTAAGAGGAGAAAAGATGAAGTGTGCTGAGGGAAAAAAAAATGTAAGAAAACAATTTCAGTCGACTGTCAAATTTTGAATTTAAATATGTTTCAAATCATTATAGACACCATTCAAAATAAATGTTAAGAGATGGAGACTATGTCTAGATGATATAAAAAATATGTTCAATTTAGTAGAAAAAGTAGTGATACAATTGGCTTTTTAGCCATCCCTAAATAGTTTATTTAAATTATTTGTCTGGCTATATTTGATTCCTTAGAATCTAAGTAATTAGGAATCTAATTAGCCTCCATGTTCAAGTTTCTATTGAACGTAACACTGCTCCAGAAAGTCCTAAATTTCCACATAAAAGAAGGCTTGATTATTTTTCTATACAGACTTTTCTTAGTTGCAGACTAACTAGATTCATTATCTGTTTTTCCAGTAACATTTTACATTACAAAATATTTACATGTACTTCACTTTACTTAGATGATAAAAATTTCATCTTTTCTAAACTAAAATTAGAAAAAGATTGTTTTAAAGCATATGGAAATTAAACTTTAAGTGAGGTAGCAAGAGAAAGCAAGAAAGGAAGATGGCAGGCAGAGGATCACGGTGTTCCTAACATTTAAATTCTTAGCTAGGAATGGATAAACTGGAGTTCAGTTTTATTGGGCCAAAAGGAGAGAAACAAAAAGGATAAATTATTATTTTCTCTTTCAGAATAGTTCCAATAAGACACTCAAAAAAAAAATAGACTTCTAAATTTCCTAGTTGTTTTGCTCAAAATCACCAAAATGCTCACATTGAACTTAGTCATATTTTTTCTTACTTAATTACAAACTGTAAGCTTTTAGCCTGGTACATTATTATTTATCTAAGGACTGGAGATAAGTTAATGTTTCAAAATTTTACATTATCCTGGAAATCTTAGATTACAGTGCCCCAAATTTCTGAAAATTGAGCCATGAATTTTAGTTCCAGTTTTCCCCTACCTACTTCTTTGACCTTATGAAACTAATTATCCAAATTATAGTTTACTTTTCTATGAGAGGCATATAACAAAATAGATGTTCTCTTTACTTTCATTTCTATGTTTATTGATTCACTTAAAAGGCAGCAATCTTGGGTTCAGGGACTAGTCTGAGCTAACTTTTTTTTTTTTAATATCCTACACATTAAAATGCTGTCTATAAATGTTGAAATGCAAATGTTTTCAGCATCCTAATCTATATTCCTTTTTTTGTATTCCCTTTCTTGTTCTTGGCATTTGAACATCATGTCCTTTTCAGAAAATCATGCTTAGTTAACAGGATTCTGTAATATGGTTGTCATTAAAAAAGAAATGAATGTGTTTGGTTCTTATAAAAAAAAATCTCTGTTTAGGAAACTAATAGAAATATTTACCAAATATTAATACTTAATATTACTTATTATGTTATTACTTATTACCATAAAACATAAAACAATGGTCTTTTGAAAAGATGATTTGATCACAAATATCATTTGCTGAATTTATTATTAGATGTTATCCATTCAAAATTCCTACATAATCTACAATCCAAATTCCTCAGTTGATCAGTGCCTCATTTTATAAACCTGGCATTTGCTAAAACTTCTAATGAATTACATCATTATAAGCATGGTATCTCTGTATAAGGCAGCAGTAGGTAAGGCACCGGAGAGCATTTAATGAATTTAGTTCTATATTTTATAGCTGATTATGTCATTACCATAATATTAAATTAATAAAATAGTTGAAGATATTTTGTAGCCAAATTCTCTATACAACTATCAAAGCCAAACTCACATTTGAGTTTCATATGAGTGAGGTCTTGTCACCTTATTCTTCCAGTAGCTTTGGTCTAATTAGAATTGCTCATGTGCTCATATTTAAAGAAATCTGAAGACATTGTTTTCTGTATGTACTAGTATATATTACAGTAATTAATATTGCAAAATTATCACAATTTAAAATTGTATTTTATTCTTTTAAAACAATCATTAGCTAAGGAATAACCTCATTGAACACTGTTATTCATATTGTTTTATACTATAGTCCACTAGTTGTTAAATGTTAAAGACCAAAGACTGGAATTTTTATTGTATTTAACTATTGCACTGCTGCTTCTACTAATGTTTCCAATGAATAGGAGGGCTTATCATTGTAACATGAGATAGTATACATCCTCCTTACAGGATTCTGAGCAGTAGGTCATAAATTAATGCTTTCTTTTTTGGAAGGAAAACTTGGTTAGTGTAGTCTGATTATCTTTTCTATGTGCATAATAAACTCCTGGTATTCATAAAAACAGTATATACAGAATATACCCCAAAATGAACCCAAGATGGATTTACTCTGCTGAATTTAACCTTTCATTGCTTGCTAAAGATTCTTTTGAGAATATAATTAATTTTAAATAGTTTTAGAACCAGAGGGCTACTTTTTAAAGGTTGATTGAAATGGCTCCACTCTTTGGGACAGTCAATGAAAAGCCTATAAGGAAATGAGGTATAATGAACTGTAATTATTTTCATTCTTGCAGTCTTAATATCTCATTTGTTTGAATATTTATAAATAAAAGTCTACAGGGTTAAAGATGTGCAAGGATATTCTAAACAATGGAGATATGTAATTTCAAGTTTGAGTGTCTCGTTATTTATATAATTTTTTAAACCAGGTCCACTATTCATTTGTTTTGTTTTGTAATTTTCATGTAAATGTTTTCTTGTATATATAGATATATAAAAAATGGAACTATTTTCTTACACATACTATGCAATGTTTGTAAAATTGCAATATTACCAAAATTACAAAAGCTGTGCTTTTGTACTCTATATTGCTTTATGTAAAATCAACCTTTTTCTATTTAAATGGACTATCTGTCCCATAAACTGTAGATAACATATCTATTCAAAAATCAGTCTATTGTATCTTTTGTTTAGTTTGGGGTAAAATGGGTTATATTTCTTTGGAAGAAAATGCAGCAAAGTTTGGCAGTTGGAAACTTTTTTTTTCTCAGAAAATGAAAACTTTGAAGCATGCAATGAGCTCATATAATTTAAGATCTCTCCTGTAATTCTTGTACTTGTCCTAATTTTGGTGCTACTGTGTAACCATGATTAAATGTGATAGTCAAAACAAAGAAGATCAGAACTCATAATTTATTTTATTGAGAAAAAAAGTTCAAAGAGAAAGCTAATGAGTATTTAGTGAAGAGACCTTTTTCAATTATGTTTTAAATATCAACTCTACTAACATGTATGCTTTTAAAAATTTAATCTATTGACACTTG